GAAAAGAGAGTTGGTTACTCCGTTTCAAGAGTGAAAAACAGGACAGGTCAGTCAGAGAACATGGAGGAGGCATGGACCAGAAACTTCAACATGCTTTCTACAGGAAGGAAGAATAAAAGCAGGGCAGGTGTGTGTGTGTGACAGGTTCGGGACCAGACAGGGTAGGCAATGTGAACAGGCAATTTAAGTGATTTTCTCAGCTTCCAGGAGATTCAGCACGGGGCCATTAGCATACGGGTGGAATCCATTTAGTAAGCATCAGAGAAAAGAGGGGTTGAGGACTCGGGTTCTGGACCTGTTGGTTTTTATTGGAAAGACAACAAACCTGCCATCTAGCAGTCAGCTAGTTCTGGGAAGGATTATCCGTCCCAAGCTAGCGAGGCCTCGGGACACTGAAGCATCATAAAAACAGAGTCAGAGTCAGCAGGTTGGCTCAGTGGGTGAAGGCATTGCCACCACTTGATGACCTGAGTTTGACCCTAGGACCTAGCAGGCGGAAGGAGAGAACTGACTTCTGCACGTTCTCCACAGTGGACCATGGCGATCATGCACATGTGCACACACAAACATGTAAATATAAATACTTAAACACAAAACTTTATTTATTTGAGGATGTTGGGGGTTGTTTTGTTTTGTTTGGGTTTTTTGTTTGTTTTTGTTTTGTTTTGTTTTAGATGGAGTCTTCCTATGCAGTCCTAGCTGGTCTTGAACTTGACTCCCCATTGCTGGGATAACAGCCATGTGCCACCAAGCCCAGCCTCATTTATTTATTTTTTATTGCTTGTTTTTTCATTTTTAACCTTAAACAAGAATGTGAGAAGCAGTAAGTTTGTTTGCTGTGACCAGGTCTTTATGTATATAGTACAAGCTGTCCTCAAATCAGTGGTCCTCTTGCCTCAGGACTGTAGTTACAGGTGTGTGTCATCATCCACAGCTAGAAAAAAAAATTTTGAGACAGGGTCTCATATAGATCAGGTATATGACCTTAACCTGTTTTGTAGCCAAGGATGACCTTGAACTCCTGATCCTCTTGCCTCCACCTCATGAATACTGAGATTAGAGACATGTGCAATTATACCCCAGTTTATAGGGTCATGGGGATTGAAACCAGGGCTTGAAGCATGCTAGGCCAACTAAGCTACATCCCCAGGCCCCCATTCACAATTTTTTGTAAACTGTGACCAGTGTATAGTCCTACATACCCCTCATTCATTCTGCCTCCCTTTTTTCCCTTTTGGGTAATCAGGAAAAAGAGGACTCGTCAACTGGGTCTGTCCAAGCTTCTCTGTGGGTGGTGGTGCTAGGTGCATGACCAGCCAAGTTCAGATTGGTCAGAGCAATCCAGGAGTTACAGGCCAGGCTCAGGAGACCTAATCCTGCTTGTTCTGAAACAGTTCCGATCCAGCCATGCCGGGAAGCTCAGCTGAGGCTCCACTTCCCTCTGTCTCAGCTTCCTTACACACAATGTGAGTCAATGACCATCAGACCCATGATTTGCTCCAGTTGCTTTCTGGGTGTTTCTATCACCAGAAACAATTCAGGACATATTCTGTGTAACCAACCCATAGAAAATATTCTAGTTTCATTTCTGCTGCTGTGATAAAATACTCTGACAAACTGAGGCAGTCTGGAGAAATGGCTTAGCAGTTAAGAGGACCTGTGTTCACAACTGTCTATATCTCCATCTCAAGAGATCCGATGCCCTCTTCTGGCCTCTGTAGTCATTCCATGCATATAAAATAAATAAAATCTCAAAAAAAGTTTTTTAAACTTAAGACAAGAAATTATTTATTTTAGTTAACAATTCCAGATTACAGTTCATTACAACCAGGGAAGTCACAGCAGAAAGAGCTTGAGACAGCTGGTCACGTGGCATCCAGTCAGGAACAAAGAGATGCTTGCATGTTGAGTATGTGCTTACTTATGGTCAGCTCTGTTTCTCCAGTCATGCAGTTCAGGATTCCCTGCCTGGGGAATGGTGCCTCCTATAGTGGGCTGGCTCCTCCCACATCAATTAAGGCAGTCAAGAAAATCCCCTACAGACATGTCCACAGGCCAACCCAATGTAGACAATCCTTCATTGAGATTCTCTTCCCAAGTGATTCTAGGCTGTGTCAAGTTGACAACTAAAACCAACCTCACAACTAGGTAAGACTCTCAGTCACCTACTAACACAAATGATTTCTTTATAACCAAGAGCTGAGGAGGCTAGCTATAGCACATCTGCATACATTAGCTTCCTAGAGGGTCATGAGGGAACCTAAAACCACAGATACTTAACCGTAAATTCTTCATCATGGAACAGCAGGCAGAACCAAGCATAGTGTGATGCACCTCTATAATCCCCTACTCAGGAGGCAGAAGGATTAGAATTCAAAGCTGACTATACTATATAACAAGACTGTAGGAGGCAGGAGAATAATAACCAAGGCAATGTCTCCAAAAGGCCCTGAGTTCTGTCCACACCCTGGCATCACACCACATACACAGCATCATGGTATACACCTACCGTCTCAATTCTCAGGAGGTGGAAGCAACAGCATCAAGGAGTCTAAGGCAACCTTAGCTACACAGCAAGTTCTAAGCCAGCCTGGGACATATGAGATCCTATCTCAAAAAGAAGTGGCCAAGGCCACCTACATGTTCAGCACAGGAGAGGGGGTTGTTCCTGAGAGTCTAACTCAGGGGCTGCTGGGACCAAGGCAAAAAGTGGTCAGGACTGCCTGGCATCAGCTTCTCCCCAAACACAGAGGCCTCTGCCCTTGAAAGACCAAGGCAGACACAGACTTCTGAGGACAGTGTAGATGCTGACTTCTCCTTTCACAGAGAGAGAGAGAGAGAGAGAGAGAGAGAGAGAGAGAGAGAGAGAGAGAGAGAGAAGGGGAAAGAGGAAAGAGGAGAGAATGAATCACACCATGAAAGCTTTCTGGGTTGTTTCTACTGAAAGTTTGGATTTTTTTAAAAAAATCAGTTTGAACTCAGGAGGCAGAGGCAGGCAGATCTCTGTGAGTTTGAGGCCGGCCTGGTCTACAGAGCGAGTTCCAGGACAGCAGGGCTACACAAAGAAACCCTGTCTTGAAAAACCAAAATCACCATCATCATCATCATCATCATCATTTTGAGACAGTATCTCATGTAGACCAGACTGGCCTCCAATTCACTATGTAGCCAAGGATGAGCCTGAACTTATGATCCTCCTGCCTCTGATTTTGTGAACCAAGGGCTTTCATGTGTGCTGCAAAAGCACTCTACCAACTGAGCCACATTCCTAGCACCAAAACAGTTTTAGCTTTTAAATTTTATTTTATTTTATTTTGTGTATGTGTGGGGAGTGCGCAATAACATGCAAATGAAAGGTCAGAGGACAACTCATGGGAGTCAGTTCTCTCCTCCACCATGTAAGTCTTGCTTGGCAGCAAGCACCTTTATCCAATGAACCATCTTACAGGTCCTCAGTGTTTTTAATGAGCCATCTAGACAGGAATATGCCTCATTTTCTGAAATTTCTGACCCAGAACATAAAGTCCCTAAGGACCTTCCTTGACCTCTGTGGTTGGTGAATGGGGATTGAGTGCCTATAGGTGTTCAGGCACGCTCTGAAGTGCTCTTCTTCCCCCTCTGCAGAGGCTCCGAACAGAGAACCGACTGCTCAAACAGCGGATTGAGACCCTGGAGAAGGTGAGGAGTGTGGGTACCAGCTGCTAAGTTCCAAGTCTCAGGCCTCAAAACGCCCAGCAGCCATTAAGGCTGGGGCCATTGCTCCGTTCTGAACCAGCTGATTGAAGCCTGGGTGGGGCAGGCATAGTGGCCGTGCTCTTATAATCTAAGCACACAGAAGGTGGAAGCAGGAGAATCAAGAATTCAAGGCCAGTTGGCCTCGGCTACATGAGACCCTGTCTCAACAAAATATGTGGGTGGCCTTTTCTTCAAATGCCCCCAACCCCACTAAGATTTGGGCTGCCCTTGTTAGAGGTTCTTGGAAGACTTCATCTCTCTCTGCATCTCGACTCAGGCCGTAGGGTTGCAGCTGAATTGTAATTTGTGGATGTAACTCAGTGGATGGCAGTCACAAACTACGTGGGTAGGAAGATAAGCTCTGTCAGTGGACCACAAGGAACCCTAACCTGTAATTTGCCAGTCTCACTTTAGAAAGGGAGACAGAATGGAAACGGGGTGGTGGGGGAGCCTCACAACTTGAGGTGGAGAGGCATAGACTTGGCCTTGGGCCCCACTAGGTTAAGGGTGGTGGTTTGGGTGATTTAGCATGACTCTGGGCCCCACGTCCTGCTCCTCCGTGTTCCTCATTTGACTATTCACCTACTGCAAGGAGGAAGGAGGTCATGGAGAGGATGTTATACCACACCAAAAGCCTCAATTCTTGTTTTCTCTCAAGATTAGAATGCACTCCCTGCCCCAGCCCTCTCTGGGACCTCCTCCTCACACAGTGGAGAGTCATTCCTGCTGCTGAGTTTTCTCAGCCCAGTGCACCCTGACCTCCCCACCCATATGAACCCCTCTCCAGGACGGAGCTGGCTCTGGCTTTGGTCTTTCTCCGGGTCCTCTTCCGCTGGTTCTCTGGTCTTCACTCCTCTGTCCCCTGCTTCTAGAGGTAGCCCACTGCATTAGTGACAAGTGGTTCTTGTCTGTCTCTCCCCTCTTCTGTCCCCTGCCTTCTGCTCTGCCTCCTTCCCCTGTTGCTGGGAACCCCCTTCGCCTGGTAGGAGAGCGCGGCCTTGGCTGATAGGTTAATCCAGGTACTGTAGCCTTTCCATATACCTCTGCACTCTCCATCCCAGACCCTTCCTGGGTCCCTGCACAGACAGCCAGTAACCACCTCTTTCCTGGCCACTGCCATTTTGGGGGAAGGGGGCAGGCCTGGCAACTTGCATGGAGGGAGCAGCTTCCAGGGAGACCAGTGCTTTCAGGGAGGGGGCATGTGAGCCGGAGACAAACACCAGGATGGGAGGCATTTGTGGGAGTGAGATTAGGAGAAAACTTACACTCAGCATAGTCAGCAGGCTTCCTCCACCAAGGGGCAATAGATGCCACCCCAATAGGGCTCAGGACCCTTAGAGCATTTGGTTGCAGGCCTTGACATGTGCTGTGCTCAGCTCACATGAATGTGCTCACCCACAGGCATGCATGCATAATTGCAGGCACACACACAACCTTCCGATCCTCTGCTTCTGCCTGCCACCCATCACCATCTTTCACTCGCCTGCTTCTGCTGCTGCCTCATTCTTGGATGGCTTCTCTAGAGGCTTCCGCACAGCGCTCAGTGGCTCCGAGCCTGGAATGGGGGACAGGGAGTATCAAGTTGGGTGGGAGAGAGAATGTGGGTGGAGGAAGTGGCCTCCAGGGAGAGGTGTATTTCACCTTTCAGAGGCCTTTGGCTCCGGATAACAATCTTTCTCTTCATTTGGGACAGAGGCAAACAGCCAGAATGGGGGAAGGAGCCCCAGCTTGGGAGTTGGGGGCACTTGTCACTTAAACCTGGCAGCACCTCCAGAATGTCCAGTACTCCCAGGATCCGTCAGGTGGCCTGTCCTTGCCTGTCTCCACCCCTAATCCTGAGGCCTGCTGTGGGGCACCCCATCCCAGGCTCTGAGCACTACAGGCCATGCCTGTCTCACTCTACCCCTCTCTCATACTCTCTGAGCCTCCCAGAGGCCAGGCCTGGGACCAAAGCAGATAGTCACGGCCCCTTCCCACCCCGCCCTCACTGTGCTCAGGGGCAGGTGACACGGGCACAGGAGGCCGAGGAGAACTACGTCATCAAGCGGGAGTTGGCAGTGGTGAGACAACAGTGCAGCTCCACTGCGGAGGACCTGCAGAAGGCGCAGAGCACCATCCGGCAGCTGCAGGAACAGCAGGTACCAGGCGTGTGGGTGGGGTGGGGTTGGCTGGCAGGACCACACCTCCCACAAGCCTATGTGCCCCCCTTCCTTCTGGCCCTGGGGGATTAGAGCTAGGAGATGGGTAGGGATATCCAGAGGCTAGTGTCGATTTGCTGCCCCTCACAGCCAGCCACCCCTAGACTCCACAGGACATCCTAAGATGTCTTATGTTGAGAATAAACAGTAGGGTTCCTTTGAAAAACAAAGAACCTCTGGGTTCCTACCATGATGATATGAAGAGGTAGGTGAGGTCCAGAGCTATTGTCCTCAGGCTCAAGGGGAGCACTGAAAAAAGGAGGTAGCCCAGAAGAGGGGTACCTCATGAGGCCTGAAGCCTATTGTGACCCAGGAAGTGATGCTGGCACCAAGAATCAGAGTTCCTCATAGGACAGAGGTCAGGGAATAGGGGGCTGTGGCTGGGGGAGGGGGTGCCTGCCAAGGCCAGATTGGGGTCATCCCCTAGAGAAATGCCCTGCCAGGCTACCAGAGCAGAAAGAGAGGGCCTTGGTTTCTACCCAAAGGCCCAAAGGGAACTTTCTTCCCTCTTATCCTTCCCTGTTTCAAAGTAGGGCCTGAGGGGGGAAAGGTAGAAAGGCCTCAGCCCTGCCCCTGGTCCCTGACCATGCCCATGTATATGATTCCACAGCTCACCACACTGCAGGAGCACATGCCCTACCCCCAGCCCATGGTCCTGGGACTGAGTCTTGGAGGCTCTCAGAAGGCATCTTGAAGTCATGGAAAGTCCCATTCCCAACATTCATTCTGTACAGTTTCCCCTGGAAATTAGCCAAGCCAGTTCCATTGCCTTCAAGTGCCATGAACAGAGCATGGGTTCAACCCAGGATGCCCCCAAACTGGGACCCTCTAGCCTGGAAGCTATCCACTGAGCAGCGGTCTCCACCAGGGACCAACGCTGGTCTTTGTCTCCAGGAAAACCCTCGCCTCACAGAGGACTTTGTGGCGCACTTGGAGACAGAGTTGGAGCAGTCACGGTTACGTGAGACAGAGACTCTGGGGGCCCTTCGGGAAATGCAGGACAAGGTTCTGGACATGGAAAAGGTATGACTGGGAGAGGAGACAAAGGTCGTGAGTGAGTTTTAGGAGCTTCGGAAGCCAGACATGGCCACATACACCTATAATCCCAGCACTGTGGCAGAGAATGGGAGGATCTCTGGCCTGCTGGTCTTTAGGTTCAGTGAGAGATCCTATCTAAAGGGAAGAAGGCAAAGTGACAGGACACCTGACATCATCCTCTGGCCTCTTCAAGCATACACACATAAACACGTCTGCCTGTAACACATACCAGAGAGAGAGAGAGAGAGAGAGAGAGGGAGAACAAGAACAAGAAGAGGCAGCAGGCAATTGCCTTAGCCTCATGTCAGTCAGTTCCCGTGGGAGAGTGGAAGAGGAGACCTTTCCATGCTGCCTTATGCCCATTGCCACCTCAGCATTGTCCCTACACCACCACTCTCCAAACCAATCTCATGCCCTTAAATCACGATGTGCGGCAGGTTTCATAAGTTCCTGGGTATCCCACTGCACTGTGCATGTCTCCCTGTGGCTGAGGTTCCAGGATGCAGGGAAGGAAAGGCTGACAGGGGAAGACCCAGGCCCATTAATTAGGACTGCCTACTCCCTCTTCTCTCCCATGAAGAGACTCTCCAGAGGCACACTACGGGCCACACTTTCCTGCCTGTAGCCCTGGAAGTGGGCAACCAGACCTCCTGAGTGCCTCCCCAGCTGCTTTATGAGTTGACACAACTCAGGCTGAGGAGGTACCTCAGTAGGTAGGATGCTCGCCTAGCATACATGAAGCCCCAGATTCCATCCCTGGTGCACACTGTAACCCTAGCTCTGGAGAGATGGAAGAAGGAAGATCAGCCATTCTAGACCATCTTTGGCTGCATAGCGAGTCAGATTTCAGCCTGAGTTACCAGAGATCATGTCTTAAAAAAAGAAAAAAAGCCAGACCAAACCAAACCAACAGCAAAAACTCTCCTGGAAGCTGCCACAAAGTCCTTGAAGTTGAGAAAAAACCCTCCACCAATATCTGCTACAACTATGTGAGGGCCAGAAGCCTCAGCCCCATGGACACACCTCCACACAGCAGGGAAAAGTGCCCAGCCTAGACCTAACAAAGGGTCAGTAAAGACCAGGCCTACCAAGTTACAACATGAGCACCACCCCACCCCAGTCACGGGGCCCTTTCCACACCAGGACAGAATAGAGGCTGGTTCCAGTCCTGTCTGTTTCTGGAAAGGGGGGCTCCAGGCCAGACCTGGGGAGAGCACAGGGTGCTACCGCCTGTCTTGCCGCCCCTGCTGATGCAGTTCTCAGTACTGGTCCTGGGTCCTGAAAGGGTTGACTCTTTGGAGTTGAGAGCAGACCGACACTCACCCTCGCTGCCCCAGTGTGCATTATGTAATTAGCAGTAATATTTACGGGAGGCCTCACAGTTCAAGGGGGTTTCCCAAGGACAGACTTGAGAAAGAGTAGATGCTGGTTTTGCATCCATTTTGCAGATAATGGACCTTAGCTAGGGTCCCACTTGAAGGTCCTCTTCCCCTGGACCTAGTCCCTGCTCCCATGGGTATGCTGTAGTCTAGGGTGCCGTCCTCCCATCGATCAGCTGCCCCACGCAGAACAAGATCGAGGGAAAGGCCCGATGCATGGGTCCTGCAGCACAGGCATGGAGTTAGAGCAGCTCCCTGGGTTCCTCACTTCCTGACTCCCTGCAGAGAAACAGCTCGCTGCCAGATGAGAACAATGTAGCCAGGCTGCAAGAGGAGCTCAAGGCACTCAAGGTGCGGGAGGGCGAGGCTGTAGCCTCTGCTCGGGAGCTGAAATTGCAGCTGCAGGAGCTCTCGGACACCTGGCAGGTGAGGACGGGTGGTGAGGGTGCCCCCAGCAGGATGTGCCTGGAACAGCTGGTGGGCCGTACTCTTGGGCTTATTGGAGACCAAGGCTGGCCTCTAGAACCCTTCCACCCCACCCCACCCCACCCCACCCCACCATTTTAGGCCCATCTTTCCCGCGGTGGCCGCTGGAAGGAGTCCCCGCGGAAACTGGTCCTGGGCGAGCTGCAGGATGAGCTCATGACTGTGCGTTTGCGCGAGGCACAGGCCCTGGCCGATGGCCGCGAATGGCGGCAGCGAGTCGTGGAACTGGAGACGCAGGTAGGCCATGCCTGCGCGGGGACAGTGACCGCCACAGCGGACCTCTTGACCAAACCGTGACCCCCGCCTCCTGTTGCTGTGCCCTCTGGTCCTCCTTTCCAGGACAACATCCACCGCAACCTGCTGAACCGTGTGGAGGCGGAACGTGCGGCTCTGCAGGAAAAGCTGCAGTACCTAGCGGCACAGAACAAGGGACTCCAGACTCAACTCAGCGAAAGCCGCCGAAAGCAGGCAGAGGCTGAGTGCAAGGTACAGCCCCTGCCCGGACCCCACGACCCCACCTGGGACCTAGCCACCTCCTTAACCCAACCTCTGTACCACCCTCACCCCCACCCCCACCCCCCATTTCAGAGCAAGGAGGAAGTGATGGCAGTGCGCCTTCGGGAGGCCGACAGCATGGCCGCGGTGGCGGAGATGAGGCAGCGCATCGCAGAGCTGGAGATCCAGGTGAGCCGCAGGAGCTGGGAGGATGGTGGTCCCCCTGGGCTGGCCATGCTCTGACTGCCAGTACTCCGGCCTTACCGGCAGAGGGAGGAGGGTCGCATCCAGGGCCAGCTGAACCACTCAGATTCGTCGCAGTACATCCGCGAGCTGAAGGACCAGATCGAGGAGCTGAAGGCTGAGGTGAGAACAAGGGATGCTGGCGACAGGCCAGACTCTGGTGCAGGGACCCAGATTAAGAATGAAGCTAGGCGGGCAAGGGAGGAGGGCGCCTGATGGCCGGGCTTCTGTGTGGGTACATCAGTCTACATCTCCAACGCGCGGGTGCCCCCCACCCCACCCCACCCCCGCGCACCCCAGGTGCGACTGCTGAAAGGCCCACCAACCTTCGAGGACCCGCTGGCTTTCGATGGGCTTAGCCTGACACGGCACCTGGATGAGGACTCTCTACCATCTTCCGATGAAGAGCTGCTGGGCGTGGGTGTGGGCGTGGGTGCAGCCCTGCAGGACCCACTCTACCCTCTGTCGCCCCGGGACGCACGCTTCTTCCGACATCTGGAAAGGCCAGCCAAAGACAGTGAAGGTAGCTCAGACAGCGATGCAGACGAGCTGGCAACGTCTTATAGCAACCAAGGCCTGGACAACTGAGGCTGGGGACCCACTCACTGGGAGCCTGGAGGCCGCAACCACTGCTTGCCGGGAGGAGAGGGCAGCAGTCAGTGACCTTGCTGCTCCGAAGTACTAAACAATTCTGTGCCTCTGAGGCTCCTGCCAACCACGGGCCAGGAGGAGGAGGCGGCACAGAGCGCAGGGCCTTGTGGCAGGCCTGTCCTATGTAGCAGTGTTTACCTGTTTTGGTCCATACGGTCCCGGCCCTCCTGAGTTCAGGGGGTGCCTGGGTCAGTTACCTGGAGGGGGTTGCTCTCCTAATATGGACAAGGGCCGAAAGTGCAGAGGTCCCAGGACTTGCTAAACAGGAAGCTTCCTCCTCCCAGCCAGCTTCCCTTTGGGACAAGGGTGGCCCTGCTGGGTGGGGCCCAGGAGCCGCAGAGGGTTGGAGGAAGGAGGGGCAACTTGGACTTCATATTAGCACCCCAGGACAGGCTCCCTGGACACGGTGATTTTGAACAGCCAGTCCCTTGCCACCAGGGTCAGATGGCCAGGCTGGGCGTTTCTGCCTGGTGCAGGCATCATGGCCCCTGCAGCAGAAACCAAAGTCCCCCCCATCCTGTGTGCAGGGTCACCAGGGGTGTGAGTGGTCAGTGAGAACCAGCTCCGGCCTGGGCAGTGTCTCCCCACTCTCTAGGGCTACAGAAGCTGCAAAGAAGAGACCCTTTTCCCCAGAGCCCCATCTTCCTCTGGAGAGTACTAATATCCCACATGTCGGCTGGCTGTTGAAGAGAACCCCTTCCTTAGGAGTTCTCAGCCTCCTTGTTCCTGTGTCCCTAGCCCCACTTCTGGCCAGTTTCCCAGTCAGAGTTACCTCCCTTTTCTCCGTGAAGTGTTTCCGTGGCCTCTGCCCAGTCAGAGTTGAGAACGGTGCCAAAGTCCATCGAGGCCCCAGGCTCCTTTATCCTTCACCCCTGCATCTTGGGACCCTGGGGACTGACCCCCTCTCAGTGCTCCTAGAGCCTCAGGTAGGGTGGTGTCCCAAGCAATCCCTGGGTGCTTCCTGGGTAGGCCCCCAGCTCAGTCTCCATTCCTGGTGGCCCACTCTTTAAGTGTTAAAAAGCCTGGGGGCCGGGGCAGGGTACCTTGAGGAGGCCCTCCTAGGTGCCCCTCACGTGCCCTTCCACACTGCCCACCACCATTTTGCACACTGCCTGTTCACACTCCATGTCTCCCAGGCAGGAAAGATGGAAAATAAAGTGTATTTACACAGTCAAAAGGGACCCTGAGTGGAACAAGCCAAAGGCCTGGGATAATCACAGCAAGAAGGTGCTGACCCCCCGTCCTTGTGTTCTGGAAGTTCAAAGATGAATGAATGCAGTGGCTAGTTGGTGTGAGAAGGGCACAGGGGTGGAGAGAGGATTCAAACCAGCTTCAGGAAGAGCTGGGCCCAGTGGCATCCATTCAGCAGAGACTCTGGGGGCCAATGACGTGTTCTGCCCTGTGCTCACCTCTGTGGAGTCTCTACTGTCATGGGAATGGGTACCGAGGGTTAGCAAGTGAACTGCCATTAATGTAATGCCAAAATAGGCAACCAGGGCAGGACAATCAAAACAGCTTCCTGGAGGAGGCAATGTGAGGGGTTTCTCTGAGGGCAAAAGCACCGAGGCCAGATGCATGGGAACTAATGGGGAGAGAAGGAGTCATT